TGGCGCTGTGCGCCTCGGCGTTTAAACGCCGACCTGTGGGAGCGCATATGGACCAAGATTTCTGACCTGGGCGAGGTGGGGTCTGATGTTCGAGTTACCCTTGTTAAAGGACACCAGCAGGGTCAGGGTGCTGATGCCCGTGGCAATCGGTGGGCTGACCGTGCTGCCCGTAACGGCGGGGACCTCCGCTCCATCCCCAAAGCTCAGGTCAAAGCTATGAAGCTGGGCCATCAGTACTACACCCGCCTTCTACGATGGGGTACGACCGCCCTGGGGCTCTTCTTTGGCGAACAGCGTGTCGACGCCCGACCGCGCAGGAAAGCCTGCCGGCGCCCTCGGCGCGCCACGCCCCCCTCGGAGCCCAAGGAGGCCTCGGTGCACCTGCGCCACGTTTTCTCCCAGGTTTCCCATCGTAGCATATGGAGGTGTGAGTTTTGCAGAAAAGGCTCGAAACTGGAACGGACCCGTCGTCGTCTCTCTTTGCTTGCTTGCCCTGCTCGTTTGCGCGCTGCTGCCGGCGTCCCTCGGCGCTCCCCCACTGTCATTCTTCCTGGTGACGCTGCGCGCGCCCAGGCCGACAATGGAGGGCAGATGCCGATGAATGAGGGCAGCAGCTTCGGTGCTGCGGTGCGGCCTCGCCCCCCCTCGGACTCGTCTCGTTCGGTGCGCCCTCGGACGGGCCCCCCCCGCGCGTGGCCATGAGCGTGTCCAAGGGGAGGCTGAGGCTCCCCCTCCTTCCTCGGGCCTGGGTAGCCCTTCCTCGCCTCGCCCCCGCAGCCCCTCCCCTGGCTTTGAACGACACGTCAGGCCACGCGTGCGTTTCGAGCCTTTTGCTCTTGCTTGGGATGGAGCTGCGAGTGTCCAGGCAGACGCCGCTGCCATGGTTCACCCTCTTCCTGAGCGCTCAGGACCTGCCTTCCTCCCTGACAAACGGAGGCGGATTGGATCCAAGCGCCCAAGTCGGCCCTCTTTGGCCGACACTACGGTACCAGCCGAGCCCATGCCTGGAACGGGCCGTGTCCCTGCCACGGCCGCCCGCGGCCATCGTCTCTGGGTCTCCTCGGGCCACGTTTGTTTGTGTGTCTCCTGTGGTGCTTTCACTACGGGCACGGCTGGCCACCTTCTAGTTGATTGTCCGTCAGGGGGCACTCACCGTCTATCCGAGCGGGCGGTGCGTAACCGACGTTTGTTCATGCAGGGTTTTCACCCCGCGGACGAGGGGGCAGCGGGCTCTCGTAGAGTCCCCGCGCCTCGTCCGCTTCTCGTTTCGGACCGTGCAACTCACTGGGTCAGGCTCCATGGGAGCCCACCTCCTAACCCAGGTGACGGGGCATAGTCCCCCGCCTCTTTTGTCATTGTGGCTGGTACCCGTGATCCTTTAGGTGGGGTCCCAGCCTTTTCGCAGGCCAGCCAGGCTGCAAGCAGCTTGGCACCCTAGGTGGGCGTTCGTGCACCGCGCGACGCTTCCTTTGGCAGTGCCGTATCCTCCTCCCTCCTCCTCCCTCCTCCTCCCTCATCCTCCTCCTCCTCTTCCTCCTCCTCCTCGTCCCTCCCTCCTCCTCCTCCTCCTCCTCCTCCTCCTCCTCCTCCTCATCCTCCTTCTCCTCCCTCCTCCCTCCTCCCTCCTCCCTCCTCCCTCCTTCATCGTGGTCCAGGGCAGGCCGACATCGAACGATCTGCGTAATCGGAATCAGAGGAGCACGAGGTCACGAGAATGATACGTTCCAAGATGTTCTCCAGGATTTCAATGGCTCATGCGACTTCCCGATGTTCCACACGGGCTGCAGGGACGAGGGCCGCCAGATACTCTGGGGAATCGTGGAGTTATCCTGAGCCCATCCTGTCGTGATATGTTTCTTGTCCCAGGGAGAGCCGCGATCGCCCAGGGTTGAGAGGTCCACGCGGCGTCAGACACCCACGCCGACGTCATCGCGGCGTCAAGCTGCCCCGCAGGCGAACTCAAGGTCCCAACCTCAGCCGCCTGTTGGCGAGGCCGTCCATGCTTGTCACAGAAACTGCGGGCCTTTGCTTCCAGATACATTCGGTATACTGCCCCCAAGCCGTTCATCCATGGCCGGAAGCGCTGCTCCATTGTCATGCCGATTCTGCTGTCCCCCAGAAAGGCCAAATTCTCCACGCTTCGCCTATCCCCACTCGCCTATTCATAACCCCTGCCCATGGGGGCTGAAGGGGACCAGAGCGGCCAACCATTGAAACACATTGAGTGACCAGAACGGGCAACCAGGGTGAACAGAGATATCTCTGGAGCAATGGGGTGGCCTTGGAGGGCCTCTTCGGGCCATCCCTGGGGCTCGCGTGGGGGCAAGGAAGGAGGATGAGGAGGATGAAGAGGAGGAGGAGGAGGAGGAGGAGGAGGAGGAGGAGGAGGAGGAGGAGGAGGAGGAGGAGGAGGAGGAGGAGGAGGAGGAGGAGGAGGAGGAGGAGGGAGGAGGAGGAGGAGGAGGAGAAGGAGGACGACGACGACCACGACGACGACGAC